TACTTGAACAAACCAGTAATGTTTCCAAGGAAAGGATTCTACTGATGCAAGAAGGAACAACTTACAAGGTAGACCCATTGGGCTATGGATGGAAAGCGGAGGGAGAAAAATGAAAAATTGTACCCCTCGCTAAAAGTGGGAGCAGCTACAATGCAAAGACAAGTTTAAAAAATGTCATTGTCGGTGGCAGAACGCAGATTTTCTAAAACTCAGGGACCGGTCAGTCCAAAGTCTGAATTCACCTTACTGTGGCGTCTTCTGAAGAAACTTCCTTCACAAAGACAGACCAGCATCCTATGGACACAGACATTGTCAGTCACAACCTYGGCCTATTGGTTGCATCAGAGAGGAATGAACCTGAATTTGACCTGCACAAGATATGAACGAGGCTGTGAATCCACAAAACATCTGTGGTTGTACTTTCCCCTAGCAAATAAGCTCTGGGAGTGGTGGAAGTACCAATGACAAAGATGGACAGAGGCGAAATGGGATTGGTCAGACCACTGGATCCTGTTCAACATTCTACCAGAAGGCTCCGAGCTAGAGCAAGGTTGGGGGTATGTTGCATTGGTCTGCAAAGGAGTTGTGCAAGAAGTGCTGTGGAAATAAATGAATGCAAAAGTTTTTATAAAAGAGGTATGATTTGTTTATCAGCAAATAACCATGGTAAAAGAGAGTCTGCGCTTTATGATTTCTGCTGATTGGAGGAAGTGCAAAGCTAGATCAGGCCGAGGAAGAATCTGGTTTCACAAGGTCTGGACTATAGGACATTATCTAACTGCAATAATTGAGGAAGGCAAGATGAGTTTGGCAGACTAGCTAAAAACATAGGTCTTAGGATGGAGACTTGCAGGTAGCAGAACAATTTTTGTTGAATATCTTAAGTTCTTTTGGGACATTATGTGAATTAGAGGGACTTACCTTGATTTGGGAGAACCCTCACCTTTTTGGGGACATCAAAAAGATCCTTTTTGGATAGTATTTTAGTAGATATGGGACACTGGACCCGATTTCCAGAGATGCTTTACTGTTACATATGTCAATCTTGGTTCGAGCTTCGCTCGTAAGCTAAACTGGCTAATGTTGCCAGGATAACTCCGGGTTGAATTGTGAGGTCCCCGGCCTCGGTCCCTTATTATTGGCAATAAAGATTAAATGCTTTCCAAAAAAAAAAAAGTTATTGCACAATTTGTGAATGACCCCGTGGGAAAGGTCCCACTAGCAACAGGGTAGGATAAAAACGAGTTTGTGGGACAATTGAGTGACCCAAATCCTGCCGTGCAGTACTCGTTATCCCATGGTCAGTATTTTACACGTATTACCTGAAAAAGTAAGGAGATCTTCGTTCCTTTCCTCCTCTCCTTAGCATTGGGTATGCCAATGCAAAGAAAGCTTCCCGCCAGAATCTTTTCAATCGGTTGGGGGTGTGGCCAACCCCAAAGGAGGGTGGGGTCGGCCCTAGGTCCACTGGAAAGGAGATTTTCAATATTTTACTTGTTGTTGTGCAATTATCTCATTGGGTGGAACCCTCCTTCAATCACAGAGTATATGGAGGGTGTCAGGATCAGTGCTGACAAAAGTCAAGTTTATTCCAGAAAATGTGGCGGTTACTTTGTTCACTGTTCTTGCAACCACCACCATCATATCATTTGTGATTTGATGGCTGGGAAGCACTCTGCCGTGATTTCGGGTGGGAGGTCTCTGGTTTTTTTTTTTTTTTTTTGCCTTTCTCCCGTTTCTCAGCCCATAAATTCGTAATGAACCTGTCACCCCGCTGCCACTCAGGGCATACTCACACGAGGACCAAAAGACCCAAAATCCCAAAATTTGAGTCATTTTTTGGGTCACACTGGAGAGGCTCGCTACCCAAATGCCTCAAACGTGACCCTTCTGTCAGCGGTTTGCGGGCCCGCGGGCGTACCCTTTTTAAGACCACCTCCGGAGGTGGTCTCAAATTACCTTTCGTTTTTTTTTCCCTGTTTTCGCAAATTGAAGAGAATCGTAGACGAAGAAGACAGCCCACCAAACAACTGAAAGTGCGACCAGGAGAAGTTAAGTTGTAGATAAGGCTCAAGCGTTATACTAGCGTGAATTTTTTTTTTAAAACAATCCATCTTTTCGTTTGGTCCCCCTATCGTGTGACCAGGCGCACTTGCCCTGAATGCAAAGTGTCAGGGTAGCGACTTCTTCCTTTCTGGACGAGGTCCGCCCGTGTGACCACACTGGAACCAAATGCCTCGAAAAAGCCGAACCAAATGCCTCAAAATTTTGAGACTTGCCCTCAATGTTGCACGGGATCGGCCACACTCCTATCCGGCTGCTAATGGGACCTCGCCCACGGGGCCAAGTACCAAATCCCCATTTCTCCAGACGGCCACTACCTTGTCCCATTTAAAAGGTACAGCAGTGTGACGCGAACCATGCCCAAAACCTCAACTTGAGGATTTGGGTCACAGTGTGAGTATGAGGGGACCAAAAGTCTCAAAAATTTGAGCATTTGGGTCGCTTGAGGTATTATCATCGGACTAACCAGCCCAGGTAAATTCAATATTGTGTCTGATCTGACATCGGGTGGGCTTTTCAGCCCAGGTAAATTCAATATTGTGTCTAATATGACATCGGGTGGCCTTTTCAGCCCAGGGTGGCCTTGATTGCCTTCAGGGAACCCCCAACGGGTTTGGTCCTCAAATTTGAGGTTCGTTTTTTTTGAGGCATTTGGTCCCCGTGTGGTCACGGGCGGACTTCGCGACCCTTACACTTCGCACTCAGGCAAGTGCGCCCCGTCAGGGCAAGTGCGCCCCGGTCACACGGGCGAGGACCAAACAAAAAGATGGATTTTTTTTTTTTTTTTTCACGCCAGTATAACGCGCGGGCCTTCCCTACAACGTGAATGTTTCAAACAAAAAGATGGATTTTTTTTTTTTTTTTTCACGCCAGTATAACGCGCGGGCCTTCCCTACAACGTGAATGTTTCTGGTCGCACTTCCGGTTGTTTGGCGGGCTGTCTTCTTCGTCTAGGATTCTCTTTCGCGAGCATAGAAAAAGAAAACAGCAAGACGGTGATGCGGTGACACGTGGGCGGACCAGGTGATGACGGTGCGGGCAGCCGCTGTTGTTGTCCAAAAGGCAGCAGGTAACAGCGTCAACGTGGCAGCAGGTGGCAGTTTCCACGCGGCAGCAGGTGGCAATTTCCACGTGGCAGCAGGTGGCAGTTTCCACGTGGGAGCAGGTGGCAGTGTTCACATGGCATCAGGTGGCGGTGTTCACGTGGCAGCAGCAGGGGGCAATAGCAGCGTGTCACTTCTAGCGGGCGACACCAAAACTATGACGAGCAGTTTATGACTTCGTCACGCAATCTGAATGCGATTTCGATCAGGTACATACTGCATTCTTCCACGGTATCTGCCCTAACTGTTTGGCCGGATTCTGCACGGAACTGACCGCCGCCACTGACCGCCGCCGAAGCTCGCGATAACCGCCTTCGCCCTGTCACCTCCACTCCGCTCTGAACATCAACGGCTCAAGCAAGGAAGATCTATATCTATAGACGGCCGCCTCTGAGCAGCAACACAACGGCTCAAGCAAGGAAGATCTATATCTATAGATCGCCGCCTCTGAGCAGCAACACAACGGCTCAAGCAAGGAAGATCTATATCTATAGATCGCCGCCTCTGAACAGCAACACAACGGCTCAAGCAAGGAAGATCTATATCTATAGACCGCCGTCTCTAAACATCAACGGCTCAAGGAAGCTGGCCTGAACATCTCGTTCTCTCTGCGGTATTTCAAGCTTCGGGAATCGAACCCGTATCTCGTGCTTCGAAGGTGAGGACAAGCAGAAGGGAAGGATACAGACCGCCGCCGCCGCCGCCTCTGAACGTCCACGGCACCTCTGAGGAAGGAAGACCTACAAACAGAGATCGGTTCATGAAAAAGGAAAGAAGACCGACTGGCCTCGCTCGGTTGGTGCACCCATGAATTGTTGAAACGCAGACGGGCGTTCGAATCCAGATGAAAGGAAAGAAAGGAAACAGATCTATAGATCGCCGCCTCAACATCAACGGGACAAGGAAGGAAGGGAGATGTATAGATCGCCTCAGCATCGACGGTTAAGGAAGATGTATGTCTGTAGTTCGACAATAGATTTGTAGAGAAGAGATATATAAGAGATCAGTGTTCGCTTTTTCTGATCCAGCAAGCTAATCAGGAGATCGAGAGTATGGAGGGGACAAGCAAATTCAACGGCGCGATGAGCGGGCCCGTGACGCCGGCGAATGTTCTGGCCCGTTTGATGAACGATGGCATTTTTGACCAATTACGCGCCAAAATTACTCAAGAACTCAAACAGAATGTAAGTGCATCGGCTAATTACCACAGTAATTAGTCTTATCTATCCTTCACCTATCTAATCATGTCCGGCACCTAATCTAAATCCTCAGTCTGCGCTATATGACCACTACTGAATGTTTCCGACGTTGATTACCTCTAAACGTTGATACCACCGCGTGTCTCCTGCTACTGCTGCTGCTGCTGCTGCTGCCGCTGCCCCTCTTCTTGCCTCCCACAGTTAAGCGAGAACATCTTTCCCCGTGACCAGAGACCCGTGTTCTAATTCTCCGTTCAGCCTTCTCCTCCTCTTTCTCCTCTCGTTGCCCGCTCAGCTTCCTCCTCCTCCTCCCCCTCCTCCTCGTCCTCCTCGTCCGCTCCTCCTCCTCCTCCTCCTCCTCCTCTTCGTGCTCCTCCTCTTCCTCCTCGTCCCCCTCCTCTTCGTGCTCCTCCTCCTCCTCCTCCGTCCTTAACTATTTCTCTCCATCTGTCTTCTTCTTCCTGTTGCGCGTATGTGGATAAGGAACACATGGCTCTGTCGCGCATGGAATGTTGAAATCCGTGTTCGGCAGTAATCAGGCCATCGCTGGTTACTCTTCTTCTTCTTCTTCTTACCTACGAACTGCGGACTTTTCGCGCGCTGTATCCGACCGATCTATGTTTTCCCGCCTTTTTGTTGCTCAGAGTCGTTCGGCGGAGTATTTTTCCCGCCTTTTCTTTGGTAACCGTGGTACCAATGAGTAATTTTCCCGCCTTTTCTTTGGTAATCGTCGTACCAATGAATATTTTTCCCGCCTTTTCTTGCTTATCGTCATACTAACGAGTATTTTCCCCGCCTTTTTTTTTGCTAATCGTCGTACCGACGAGTATTTGTCCCGCCTTCTTTTGCTAATCGTCGTATTAACTAGTATTTTTTCTGCCCTTTTCTTTTGCTAATCATTGTACTAACGCGTATTTTTATTTCCGCCGCCCTGCCCCTCCCAACCCGTCCCCCTCCCCCAACCTTGTGTGTTTGACCCCGATTGAGTTTATTGCGATGGCTAACGGAACGCAACGTACACAGATTCCGACATGGCTGTGTGTGCATCAGGAGGCCTCCCCTCTTCCCGCTCCCTTCCCCCCCTTCCCCCCCCTTTCCCCCCCCCTCCTTCCCTGCCACCAATTTAAGTATCTTAATTCTCTATATGCCATTTGGTTCGCTTTGATCTTTGATTCTTCTGGTTCTTCATTCGTTTTTTCTGACCCATCTTTTCCTCTTTTGAGGATCATCAGAAAAAGAGACGAGTTAAAAAAAAAAAAAAGGAGACGAGTTGGAAACTTGAACTTTTTTCCGTGTTGGTTTTCTTTGCCCGTCGTCGTATCCTTAAACCATTGCTTGTCTCTCGCTTACTTCGATCCTTCTCCTCCTCCTCCTCCTTCTCCTCTTTCTCCTCTTTCTCCTCCTCCTCTTTCTCCTCCTTCTCCTCCTCCTCCTCCCTCCAAAAGCTGTCGAAAGTACTTGTCAACAAAACGGTGTGCTCATAGATAAAGGGGAAAACCGGAAATTTGAATTTGATTGTGAAATTTGAAATTGATTTGTCTACCATACCATCCTGCGAAAGCACAGCCAAGGGAATATGGGGGCTTGGAAGAATCGGGAGAGAAATCAAAAAAAGTGGGAGAGACTCTTGTCAACAAAACGGCGTGCTCAATATGGGGGTTTGAAGACCCTGTTGACCGGGACTCGAGTTCGACTCTGTGAAATGACTTGAGAGGTGTAGTATTAATTAGTGGGAGCTTCAAAAAAAGTAAAAAAAGAAATTGATTTACTGTATTTTCTTACCGTCATTATCCGTTTGGTGTTCCGTTCCAACTCCCAGCCTCTTCCTTCTCCATTTGCTCTCTCTCTCTCTCTCTCTCTCTCTCTCTCTCCCCGTCCTCACTAGCATTGGTACCTGTACGTGCAGATCGTTATCGACCAATAGAAATGTTCAATAAACATCTGACATTCTGTTTTTTCGTGCAATTCAAAACAATGCTAGTAAAGCTGTGACATTCCATTTCGCGCAATTAAAAAGAAGTCTCAGTCTCTCAGATTTAAGCGAAAGGGCAAATACAGCAAAGTGGATCTCGACCCTTGGCGCGGTTTCAATTTGCGCGCGAGTGGAGTGGGTGAGCATCACACCTTTTTTTTGAATGGCGGAGGGTCGATCTCTCCTTTCTACCTCCCCCCTCCTCTCTCCCTCTGCCCCCCCTCTCTTTCGCTCGCTTCCTGTTTGTCTTGACGGATCAGAGAGAGACGCACACACACACACACACACGCAGAGAGAGACGCACACACGCACACACACACAGACACACACACAGAGGGAGAGAGAGAGAGAGAGAGAGAGAGAGAGAGAGAGAGAGAGAGAGAGAGANAGAGAGAGAGAGAGAGAGAGAGAGAGAGAGAGAGAGAGAGAGAGAGAGAGAGAGAGAGAGAGAGAGAGAGAGAACCGCGTTCCATGGCTACAAGGGGTTGCAGAAGGGGGGATGGAAAGCCGGTTTGCCGATTAGGCAAATGCGTCTTCTTCTTTTTCCCAGTTCTGTGACTGAGTCGCTGTGTGCGGTGGTGAAGTTGATTGGCTGAGGAGATAGATGTCTGTTTGGTGTGTTCGTTGAGTTGTTTGGCTGAACAAGGGCCCACTGCTGACCGTTGATTGGCTGTGCTGTGTTATATCTGGCATTGTCTTCGTTCGTCCGTCGTCTGTAATTGTGATTGGCATTGTCCCTTGGCGTTCGTTCGTCCGTCCGTCCATTGTGATCTGGCATTGTCTTCGTTCGTTCTTTCGTTCGTCCGTCCGTCCATTGTGATCTGGCATTGTCTCTTCGTTCGTTCGTCCGTCCGTCCATTGTGATCTGGCATTGTCTCTTCGTTCGTTCGTCCGTCCCTTGGCGTTCGTTCGTTCAGGAAGAGCTGCGAAGCTACACGATGTCACTGGTGGAGAATAGCCAAGCTCTCAACTTTGTCGGCGCAGACAGGAAGAAAAAAAGAGAACTCTTTGACGCACTCCGGAAGGAATTGGAGTACGAAAGCTCTCCCCCAAACCCCCTACCTTCTCCGTCGTTTAATCTCCACTTTTCTCTCTTCACTTTTACCTGCCGTCTCCCCCTTGCTTTCTTTGTCTCTGTCTTTCTCCGTCTCACCGTCTCTCCGTCTGTCTGTGTGTCTGTCTCTCTCTCTCTCTCTCTGTCTGTGTGTCTGTGTGTCTGTGTGTGTCTCTCTCTCTCTCTCTCTCTCTCTCTGTCTGTGTGTCTGTGTGTCTCTGTCTCTGTCTGTGTGTCTGTGTCTGTCTGTGCGTCTATCTGTCTCTGTCTGTCCGTGTCTCTCTTGATTTCTCCCTTCTCTGTCCGTCTCTCTCTCTCTCTCTCTCTCTCTCTCTCTCTCTCTCTCTCTCTCTCTCGCTCGCTCGCTCGCTCCGTTGCTCTCCATTTCTCCCTTTTCTTCTTGCCTGCTTCCCCCCTCTCCTCTCGTCCCTTCGCTTTTCCATTCTCCTGTCTGACTTCTCGACGCACCAAAAGGGAATTGGAGTGTGGTTGTGGAGGTGCAAGCTTGACTCACTCTCTGCGAAACCTATGCTCTCGTTGGTGAACTGAGTGACTGGATTAGGGTTTAGGAAATTTAACCTTTTGCCTGCTTCCCTGTCTTATCTGCATGATGTCTGCCCTTTGCTTGCTTGTGGGAGGTTAAACGAGGAGCCCTTGGAGTACTAGAATTTTTATTTTTCTGTGATCAAAATATCATTACGGAAACCATCGAGTTTATCGATGAACGCATTATCTCTGAAACTGAGGGCATTATACTCACCGAAGTTGATAGCTCCATCAATCTACATTCTATCTATCTATCTATCTATCTATCTATGTCTATCTATTTGTCACCGAGAACCACGTGCTCCCAACAGGATCCCTCCCAGCAGGTGGTGTGGTGGTCCCCACGTGCATCATGCTCCTTTTCTGGGGAGCGGCAGTACGGTTTATATTCCCCTGCCAAGTCGATAAAGTTACATCATGCACTCATTCTGACGCTTGTCTCCATTATGCCTGAGAGACCCGAGTGGTGTGGTGGTCCCCACGTGCAGCGTGCTCCCTTTTTTTTCCCATTTTTCACTGATTTACTCCCCTTAGGTAGGATTTACCTCACCTCACTCCTGCCTAGTTTACCTTCCTACCTTCTTCCCCCCCGAATATACACGTACGGTCATCCTCCCTGTATTTAGGGCAACTTTCAGTCTACATACAGTGTTAAGGACCGGGCGTTCTAAGTTTTTGTCGTTCAACTGTTTCTCTCAGCTCTGACGAGCTGTCCACAGAATAGAGGCGCAGTACGTGGACAACCTGCAGCGTGTGGATCCCTCTGCAGCTCGCCGATATGTTGTCACTTATCGGTTCATTGATGATGTTCTTACCTTTGATTACCTACCTTTGATTGGGTGCACCATCGCCAGCCTATTATGGTCTTGAATGGAAAGAGACCACTGCGGCTGATGGCTGGCTCGTGCACCTTTTTAGGTACGAAAAACTGCAGAGACACGGGCAGACCGATCTCTCCGATTGAGTGGTGTTTGATAAGTCTCCCCTGTTGCATGGGATTTTCCTGTTGTACGATATCCTAGTGCAACGTCGAACATTCCATCTCATCAGCGTGCAGGTGTGCTCACCGGTCAGCTTACGCGGTTCGAGCGGTTTGATTTCAGAACTGCTGCAACCATGCTTGCTTTCTCGTGGCCATGCTCCATCAACATTAGCTAATGTTGATGGACTTGTTACATTCGTGCTCGCCAGCGTCGACACTCGGTACATGTAACTCGTCTTACACTGGTTTCGACGTATGCTTCGCCGGTCCGTGCATCATCCTCTTCCACCTTCTCCTCCCCTCTCCTTCCTCCCTCTTCCTCCCCCCCTCCTGCCCCTTCCTCTTTTCCCTCCCCCTCCCCCTCCTTCCCCTCCCCCTCCTTCCCCTCCTCTCGTTTCGCAACTGTCTTTGAAGGAAGAAAGCACCACGAATGAACTCAATTGAGAGAACGATGGTGACAAANCCCTCCTTGTCCATCTTCCCCTCCCCTCCCTCCTCCCTCCTCCTCTCCACTTCCCCCTTCTTCTCCCCCTCCTTCCCCTTCCGCTTCCCCTCTGCCTTCCTCTCCCTCTCCCTCTCCCTCTCCTTCTCCTCCCTCTATTCCCTGCATCTTCTTCTTCTTTGTCATCTTCTTCTTCTTCTTCTTCTTCTTCTTCTTCCTCCTCTTCCTCTTCTTCTTCTTCTTCTTCCTCTTCTTCTTCTTCTTCTTCTTCCCCTTCCCCTTCCTCTTCTTCTTCTACTTCCCCTTCCTCTTCTTCTTCTTCTTCTTCTTCTTCTTCTTCCTCTTCCCCACGCCGGCTGAGACCTGACCCTCCCTTCTCTTCGTTGTCCATATTGGGACGTCGGCAGGCTCGTTCATTCTCTCCTCCGCCCAGTTGATGCTAATCTGCGGGGTTCTTTGTCTTACCGGCAGCCTGCTCTGCCACGTCGACGGCGTTCGTCATTTACGCGCCAACCCCGCCAGATCAGATCTGGCTTTCCAGTGGGTGACCGATTCGGATCTGCGGGCAGACCTACCAAATATTTGTGGTTTGACAGCCACAAATGTCTGCCTACCTCAATGGCTTATCAGCGTCAATGTTATACTGCATCCCAATTCGTTACGATTGCTTATCAGCTTGGCGCTGTTGAAAATCAGTTGTTGTATGATCATACAGTAATAGTCCACCGCCTGAGGGTAGGGAGTAATTATACTACCTCAGTAAAGGGCTTTACTGTAAATGTCTTACAGTTAGCGTTCCACGGCCGCCACCTTCTTATGCATCATGCGACGCTAGGGGTTCACCTCAATAACCATCCTCATATTTCTGCCTGTATTTGACACAGCCCTGGGCATTATATGGCACTCATTCGTGCAGCTGCCCAAGTGGGAACTGTGGGATGGTGGGACGATGAGTCAGGCTATTTTCAACGTAAATGAATTTTTGCGTGCATTGTCGAATCATACTTTATTTTGGTTTATTGACTGACTCTCGTGTGACACCTGTCGGGACAGAGACGCAGTGTGCCTTGGCTGTGGAATGCATCATCTATGCCATAGCCATTATCAATCTATTGCGACTGCCGCCGTCTGTACTGAAGGGTGTCCAACATTTCCTCGATTGTACACATCCCTGTCACCCAGATATACGTTGTCCCTTTTGTGCCCAAGGACGTTATCAGAACTGCATGATGCCGCACTGTGATGAACGTCCTGCTGTGTTTTTGACATGTGGACAACATGTCCTCTGTAAGGACTGTTTTGATGTGATGGTTCGTGCTAGCCGTCCTGCTGAATGCTGTGTAGTGCTGGCGCAGCTCTCCTTGGGTATCCTTGTGAACATCCACATCATCCTCACCGTAGCTGTCCTATCTGCCAAGGTGGGGACAGATAAAGCCTTCGACACTACCGACAAATACGGAGTTAAAGAAAAGACGAAAAAAAGAAAAAAAAAGAAAAAAAGAAAATAAGAAAATAAGAAAAAGAGAGAGAGAGAGAGAGAGATGTACTTCTTTTCCTCTTCTTGTTTTGTCTTTTTCCGCTTGTGCGCTCCGATTTACAGTGTGACTATGTATATCGTCAAACAGAGCTGCCTGGTAAACTGTAGGCAGAGAGGGAGAAGAGGAGAACAAACAAGGGGCTGTGACAAACTGTTTCGTCGGAGTTTCACCGACTCATCAGGAGGCTGAACCCTATATATATATTGTCACATGATATCAGAGCGCCGAAGCGAAAAACGAAAGAAAACAAGGAAAACAAGAAAAACTATATATATTGTGTGCAAGGCCGCCCACATGGATGTAGGTTGAGCGGCGGCAGCCCCCACCCCCGTGTGTCATATCGACCCACTTGCACACAGCCAAAAGGCAAAGAGGCAAAGAAAAGAGGAAACGAACAGCCAAATAGTATATGTATGTGTGTGTGTGTGTGTGTGTGTATGTGTAGGGTTCAGCCTCCCGATGAGTCGGTGAAACTTGGACAAAACAGTTTGTCACGGCCCCTCGTTTGTCCTTCTCCCTCTCTGCGCACGGTTCACCGGGCAGCTCTGTTTGACGACATATGCATATATATATATATATCGTCAAATAGAACTGCCCGGTAAACCGTAGGCAGAGAGGGAGAAGAGGACAACAAACGAGGGGCTGTGACAAACTGTTTATATATATATATCGTCACAAACAGAACTGCCCGGTAAACCGTAGGCAGAGAGAGAGAAGAGGACAACAAACGAGGGGCTGTGACAAACTGTTTCGTCGGAGTTTATATATATATATATATTGTCACATGAATATCAGAGCGCAAAAGCGAAAAAAAGAGAAAAAGGACAAATGAATTCGTTTTTTAATCTTTTTCCTTACAACTCCCGCTGTTCAGAACCTCTTGCGTACAAGGCCGCCCACGTGGATGTAGGTTGAGCGGTGGCTGCCCCCACCCCCGTGTGTCATATCGACCCCACTTGCACACAGCCAAAAGGCAAAGAGGCAAAGAAAAGAGGAAGGGAACAGACAAATAAAACAGAACAGGGGGCAACAAAACAGATCCCAAATGATAAGTCCCACATGCAAGCTCCGCCCCAGTCCTACACAGGCCAAACGACGGGACAAGACCAACCAGGATGTCAAAACATTCTTGTCTGCAAAGAAATAAAAAAAAGGTCCCAGATACATATCTATACACAGCAGATGGCCTTGTTCGACATCAAGAAGTTGGTATTCCTATTCGGCGTCATCGTAAGCAATTCGTACCGGGACATCGTAAAAAACAATCCTAGATGATGATTCCCACATAAAAGCACCGCCCCCATTGATAGGCCGAACAACGGGAAGCAACCAACTAGGATACCAAAAGAACCCGGAGGACCGGTATAAAAAGCAATCCCGGATGACGATTCCCACATAAAAGCACCGCCTCCATGCGGGCTGAACAACGGGAAACAATCAACCAGGATGCCAAGACAATAAAAAGACACCCGGATGACTGGTCCCACATGAAAGCACCGCTACGCCCACCGTGAAATAGACCGAACAGCGGGACAAAACCAACCGGGATGCAGCAGACAAGGTTACCAAAGCAAATTCTACCATATCCATATTTTTCTCTTTCTCTATTCTTATTCTGGCATTCTTTTTTGCTTTACTCTTCCCCATTGTTGGGTTGTTTTGTTTTGTTTTGCGGACCTACTGTATGGTTCCGTTATTTTACTATGGATATGGTAGAATCTGTTTTGGTGGTGATTTTGGCACCCTTGTCTGCAACCCGGTCAGTTTAGTCCCGTTGTTCGGCTTATGGTAGGTGGAGCTCCGTGGCGGTGATTTCATGTAGGACTTGTCAGCCGTTTTTTTCTTATCTTTTTGGTATTCTAGGTGGTTGTTTCCCGTTGTTCGGCCTGTGCGTAGGGGGCGGTGCTTTTTTGTGGGAAGCGACATCTAGGATTGTCTTTTATGTTTTTTTGCTGTTGGTGGTGTCCAAGTTCAGACCAGCGAAACGGTGACTTGACAGTTTAAATCGATACCAATTCTTGCAACAACAACAACAAAATAACAATCGCGAAGGATTCTTGGAGCTGGCGCGCACGAAAGGTATGTTATCGGGGATTGTTTGTTTGCAGGCAAGGGTGTTTTTGAATCCTGGTTGGTCTTGTCCCGTTGTTTGGCCCTGATGGTGGGGGCGGTGCTTGCATGTGGGACTTGTCATCTAGGAATGGTTTATGTTGGTTTCCCCCTGTTTTGTTGTATTTGGGTGTTCCCTTCCTCTTTTCTTTGCCTCTTTGCCTTTTGGCTGTGTGCAAGTGGGTCGATATGACACACGGGGGTGGGGGCAGCCGCCGCTCAACCTACATCCACGTGGGCGGCCTTGTACGCAAGAGGTTCTGAACAGGGGGAGTTTAAGGAAGAAGATAAAAAAAATGATTTCATT